ATATCCAAAGTTAAAAATAAATGATCAAGTAAAATAAATGATCAAGTAAAGTAAATGATCAAGTAAAGTAAATGATCGAGTAAAATAAAATGATTGAGTAAAATATATGATCAAGTAAAATAAATGACCAAGTAAAATAAATGATTGAGTAAAATAAATGATCGAGTAAAATAAATGATCGAGTAAAATAAATGATTCAAATAATTTGATAAAAAAAAGTAAAAAAAAAAGTATATAAAAAATTAAAATATATTGAATTATGCAATTTATATGGCAGCGAAATACATTTATATTTACATCCTAACTTTGGTACTCATTATGCTTTGCATAAAATTCAACCTCGGGAAACAGTCTTTTGCTGCGAATATCTGACATTTCCACTAATTGCCAACCAGACAGAAGATTTGATTTTACTTACGAAGTGGGTTATTAAGGGGCCCTAGAAGAGGGAGTTGATATTGAAAAAACTATTAAAAGTGGAATGACAGCTAAATCGATAGAATATATTTAGTGGCTACAAATATAAGATTGATTTATAATATAATCTATTATTAGAGCTTTAAAATTGTAAAATAGGCTTAAATACCAGTTATTTTTATTCTAAATATATTAAGAATCTAATATTTAAAGCTTGGGTTTTTCATGTTAAGTTTGTATTTTGAAAGATCTATTGTACCATAGAGTTGTGCCAGTTGACTTAAATTTAATATTCGCATTTTTTGTGCTATAAATTTTAGCGAAATACTATCACTATGCTCTGCAAGTTCCTGCAAGTGCTGGCACATCGTGAAAGTCGGAATTACCTGCCTCAAATATAATCGGCAAATTTTTTAAAATTTGTTAACTTTTTGTAAATTTTGTAACTTTCTTGGATTTAATCAATTTATTAGATTTAGTCGATTGTTTTATTACATTATTTAGATTAGTTATTCGATTTCTTTTATTTATTTAATCTCTATTAGATATTTAAAAAATATATAAGTAAAACTATTTTTCTATGAATAAAGATAACTCTCAACTGAGTTCAATATCAAAAAGGTATTTACCCTGCTAATTCCCCCCGATAAGTTTAAATCGCATAGAATTAGTAGTTTAATTTTGTGATTCCTAGGTAAGAACCTCGTGACGTAGTCTAGAGCTCTATTTGGCCCTAATAACTTGGACCAAGTCTTTCCACACCTATTTCGTGCCTACCGCCATTAGGGTTTAGATCGAGTTTGGTTATTAGTGTGTTGATTTTGATTTGAATTAGTGTAGTTGATATCCGTGAGGCCCATATTTTGAGATTCCGGATCGATTAACCCTCACAATTTGGTGGTGACTGTGAAATTAAACTTCTCAACCACCCAAACCTATAGACCTGAACAATTCAGTAATCCTAGCTGTGAAATCGAACTTCTCTAGTTACTAGACTATGACCCATAATCACCAATCTGAAACTGAGATATCATTCCAGTATACAAAAATAGATTTTTACCAAAGTCAAGTACCCGCCACAAGATCCTATTAATATCTGAAGAAAAGCATATGCCAGACAAAAGAGACTCGACCGTTAAAAGTTCAAGGGAAGCCTCGGAATAATCAAACACCTAAAGAAGTCTTTGAAAAAAACCATGGTGCTCTTATTGTAACACAATGTGTCTATGTGCTTAGCAGTAAGAAGGTTAGATGAATGGTGCACTATAATTCTTAGAACACTTACCTCAGAACAAATGGAAGTAGTTCAGGAAATGATAAATGAAAATTTTAATGATAACATTAATGCTAAGCAAATTCCCGTGACCCTGAACCTTACATTAGAATTAGTAGAAAATATGAAAAGGGACGAAAGCAAAGTAGAAGAAATTGCATACCTGTCATCACATAAAAATCATAAAAATCCAAGGCGAAAGATAACTGCCTTTAGGGACCTCTACCAAAGCCTCGATACAAAGAGAGACTTTTAATATTGACAATCGGGAAGTCCATAGTGTTAAAGAAACAAAAGAAAA